ATGCAAAAAACAAAACAAAAAAAAACACCTTGATATGGTCAGTCTGTGACATTAGAGTTTTTTCAACAGTTTAGCTGCCTGATGGCGGTGGGGAAAAAGCTGTTTCTGAACCTGCTGGGCCTGCATTGAATGCTGCAAAGTCAAAGTTGAGGGGTCATTGATGATGTCACGGGCTCGGGATATGCAAATGTTCTTTTTACTCCTTGTACATCATTTCATACTTGTATATTCTACCTGCTATATCTAAAAAAATATTTTAAAACTATTCTGTATATTCTTAAGAACTTTGCACTCTTCAAGTGCACTAAACTGGCATGCATTTCTTCACTATCACATGTTCTACTTTAGTATAGCTATTTTCCCCTGATAGTTAGTCTCAACAAATCTACCCTTATTGTATAGACCTGCGGTTTAAAGATTGATCTACCCAGAAACCTTTAGCTACAATCGTCAGTTAAATCCAGACTTGCTCCTGCTTATTTTGTTTCCCACTGCCATCAGACTGCTGAACTGTTGAAAAAATAAAGTCTAAATCACGTCTCTAAATCAAGACTCTGCATTACACTAATAACACCAAACCAAAAATTCTACATAATTGCACCATATATTTTAATGCTCTGAACTTCCATATCAATGCATTGTTTGCACCATGTATTCTCTGCCACACTGTTTACATCTGATCCCTGCTGCACTCATTTACTGTCTGAAAAGCTGTACTAAATTAAATTTCATTTGGTATAAACTCTATCCATACAAAATGACAGTAAAAGTTGTCTAAGTCTGTCTAAGTTTAGACATGCAGAGCAGTTTGCTAAAGCTACCTTGCTTATCCTGTGTTTTTAAATGTCTAATTGATCCCTGGATTCTAACAGATTTCTATACTGTTAGAGACATGTAGATAAAGCTTGCAGATGAAAATCATTCCCTGCCTTATAAACTTAGCTTTTTGATATAAGTGTCATAACCTGACTAGTGGTTCAGATCAGGGTGCAGTTGGTCCTTGTGTACTTTAGTGTTCGTTCATCATTCTTTTTCAAAAGAGTAAACAGTTTCTGGAAGACGGTTCATTTGGGATTTCCGCTTTGCGCTGATAAATAAAAGAAACAAACAGAAATGTCTATTTTGCTTTCAAATAACATTGTAATACAAATAAACAAAGTAAATGTTAAAACATTTATTTTGTATTTCCTACAGTCTGCAGAGGATAAAAGCACCAAGAGGCCAGTGTCATGTTGGTTTCCAGTTTCTTAATCCACATGCAGAACAACAGGAGTGAAGTAGGAAGGAAATCAGATCAATCAACAGTTGAAATATCAGTGAATGGTTTGGGTCCTTGGAGGGTCGCCTCTGCACACTGCTGAGCAGAAAAAGGGAGAAGATGAGTTTGAGGTTCTCGGCAATAGGAAAAGTTTAAAAACTGATCTTACTTGGGTTCGAAACATTCCTTCATCCAGAAGGGAGGGGGGTGTGGGTTGTGGTCTTGGTTCCTTTGTGGGTGTCCAGATTCCAGAGAGAAGTTTCAACTGACTGAGTTTAGGTTTATGATGTCCAGACTACGGAAGAGGGCGGACAAGGTTAACTCAGGTGTGGAGGAGGAAAGGGGAGCGATCCGACTGCCAGCTGGTGAATCCAGCTTATGATCAAGCTGAGGAGTTGATGGAGGGACTCGGGCAACTGGTGGGTAACAGCAACATTGCTGCGTCGGTGCATGCGCCAAGCCCATAGAGCAAAATACTCTATCGCTGCAGGTGTTGTTTCAAGAAAGTCATGTGACTGTCGACTGACAGACACACTAAACATATTCTGATAAAGAATGTCTCGTCTTTTCTGGTTTATCATTAAAACTATCAAGAAGTTATATGTTTTACATTATTTAATGGCTGCCTCTAAAATATCAAAATTTCAATTTAAACATAGATATGAAATAATACAATATAACCTACAATAACTTAAATATATCATTGTACCAGGTCAGGCATCCCCAAAATCGGTCCTCAAGGGCCGCTGTCCTGCAGGTTTTGGAGGTTTCTCTGCTTTAGCACAGCTGATTCTGATTACAGTTCAGCAAAAGCCTGTTTATCAGCTATCAATGTAAATCAGCTGTGCTGGAGCAGGGAAACCTCTGAAACCTGCAGGACAGTGGCCCTCGAGGAGCAATTTTGGGGATGCCTGTACAAGGTCATCAAATCAATTCAGTTTAGTCTGTCAAATAAGCTGCCTGTAGTGTCTTTAAAGGTCCACCAGGTGTCAGTACTCTGTGAGACAGTATCAACTCCGTATCGATACAGTTTGGCAATGTGTCGAATCGCTTCAGGAAACTAAAAAATAATTTTCTTCTGTTAATATGTTCTATACATATTAACAGAAGAAAATTATTTTTTTTATCACTTACTAAATATGTTGATTATTATTTCAATATTCAATTAATTCCAATAAATTTTTTCAGCCCTGATTTTAGTGAACTACACCGTAACCACAGCTGCATTGGGGCTCGCTGCCAGAAGCGAGGCTGCAGTATACAGGCGCCAATGAGCAGTGAAACTGTCAAAGGATACAACTGAGATGGATAGAGCTGATGTTTAAACCATCAACCTTCTGTTTGCAGGACAAACTCCTGTATCGTACGCCACTGCCTCCCCAATATCCTAAACACGCTGTAGAATGTTAGTATATGTCTGCTTATCACTAATTACACCAGCGTATGTCTCAGGAATAGTCAGTCAAATCACCGTGTCAGATCATTCAGGCCCTGCCAGGTCATCGCCTAGTTCTTCCAGGTCAGTAGCCTCACCAGGTGGCCTTTCCTTAGGAATTACTAAAAACTAAATGACTATTCTTTCCCCTTTTTGTATCATTCTATACTATTTTTTCTTTCTTTAATACATAGAAACAAGGAAGGAGCATCAATTGTTGTTAGAAATATTCTGCTCTTCAGCTACAGATTTTTGGAACAATCTGTAGCTGCTCATTTTTATGTTTTTTTGTTTTCTTTCCAGAAATAGAGCAACAAATTAGTGCAAAGTACTCAGACCACTGACTGCTAATTAGTTCATAAGGACATTTTTGGATTCATTTGGAAAACAAAAACACACTTATTTTTTCTTAGTAATTATGGTTTTGATATTGAAGTAGTAAAAGGATGAAGCCCACAGGGATTGTTTCAGCTGCTCTCTGTCGATAGCTGCTGGGGAATATGCAGAGCAGGCCCAGTGACAGGAATAGACCAGAGTCAGCCATACAGAAATCTCCTATTTCTCCTGATACACTCTGATTAATTAAAAATGAGAACAGCGGTTTTGCAAACTGCAGATTTACTGTACAGCAGGATCCAATTGCTCAATGACTAATAGTGGTTGTTCTGGGGCAGTTATTGACAAAGTAAACATATATCCAATGCTAAAGTGCTGAGATATATGAAACCTGTGAGTTGGTGCTTCGTCTGGTTGAATTTTTCCATTGCTTTGGACTTTGTCTGAGTACTGATTTATTTCCTTTCTCTGAGAAAATTCTCCAAGATTTGCCAAATTTCTGGCTCTGCTGCAGGCATGCAGCACCAATACAAGGGTTCTGCACAACCCTTCTGTGTCAACTAGGGGGGGGAGGTTGCTTGAGGACCCAATTGCGGGGATGAGTGAAGCAGAGATGAGTTATTGTTGGTTTAATGAAAAACTGAGGCAGACATCCAGAAATACAAAATACAAAGAACCAAAAAAACCCCAGAAAAGATCAGGAAAAATTCAGTTGGGGAGTCAGAGACAAGGAAGCAACTAACAACAACAAGGAACCAGGAAAGAGTGACTGAACATGAGGTGTATAAATGGGAGACTGAACAAAGACCAGGCTAATTAGCGAATTGGGAGCAGTGGTGGACGGAGGAGTCTAGAAGGGAGCTAGGGAAGAGAAAAACCTACCAAAGAGGGCAGCAGAGTGCAAACAATACCTAAGAACTCAAAAACAATAAAAACCAACTAGATAGCACACAATGAAAATGAAACCAGAAAACTAGAAAACACAGAAAGAAATGAATCAAAGTATAACTGAAAACTAAAAAAGGAAAAATTAAACAGAACCAAAAAGTAGAGTCATGACATTCTGAAACTAGATGAGAGCGACGAGTTCATTGTTCAGACTTTTCTGAGGGCAACCAGTCTCTGTGATAAGCACAGAAAATCAATGTTGTATTTTTAACTCATACAACAAAGAATTCAGTCTGTTATATTAATTATTTTAGATGAGTAACTGCTATGAATACACTTTTTATTGTCAGTTCTGCTTTGATTAATTCCCCACCAGGCGATAGCAGGTACCTTAATGAGTCATATTCAAAGTATGGAGCGCTATTTAAAACTCTCTCCTACCCTTAATGAGTTGTTAACATCATCATGTGTGTGGTCATTGATTGGTTGTCCCTTTGAGTAAGTAAGTTCACTTTTTGAGGTAGAGGTGAATGCATGCTTGCCTTTAAATCCCTCATCTCCCAGGCTGACTCATGAAGCAGAAAAATAGAGTCACAGTTAAACGGCTGACATATGAAGGAAATATTAAAATCTACAGTTTTCCAACGACCTGATCCCTGAAAAATGACAAATGTCAAAGTGTTTGTTGTGTCAGCAACCTTTGCTGTGTTATTATAATTGTAGAGTGTGTGTGTGTGTGTGTGTGTGGGAATATAGGTAAGCTGGGAGTTGTGGGAGAAAGATACCGTCTGGTCTGACAGACTTGTGAGCCGAATGACTGACAGGAATAAAATTGCTTGGGAAAGGAAGTGAGGCAGCTCCCATCCTGCCTCCCCTGTCCTTCGTCTTCACCACATCCATCGTATCTACCAGTCAGTCTGTAAATGTCCCACTACTGTAAATGCTCTCTCTCTCTTTCTCTTTACTCTTCCTATCTTCTTTCTGAGGCAAGCTTCTCCCTTCCTTTTTCACACCAAGCTGTCGAAGGGAAGAAAAGCTGGCAAATTAACTGATTTTTTATCTCTTTTTTCCTGTGCTTTAAAGCCATGCATCAGGCTCTGGACACCCTAAGCGACAGCACCAGTTCGACAACGGCTAATGACCTGGATCTCATCTTCCTCAAAGGCATCATGGAGAGCCCAGTGGTGAGTAACACCTTGGACCTTCAGTGATGAAGACATATTGGTAAATACTCGATTTGGTTGTCCGCATATACAGCTCCTTGTAGAAAAGATTAGGATTTTAAAACCACAAATGACAAAGTCTTTTTGGTATTTTTATGTATGGAATCATCACAAATCCTGAAATGGAAGAAAAATGGCCGCTTTAAAAAGTTGTTATCAATACATTTATATCCAGCCTGCTAACTCAATACCTCATGCAAACACCATTTGCTGCAGGTAAAGCTGCAATCCTTTCAACGTTTGTTTTAACCTATCTTAAATGTGCATTGCACAAGTTTAAAAAGTAAATATATCATTTACTTTTCTTTGCAACTGTCAATTCCATCAGGGATTATGAGAAGATACACATCAACGCCATCACTACCAACTCCAGCACCAATGCTGTCTCCAGTTAGAATAAACGCTGTTAAAATGTCATAATTCTACAAAATAAACTGTTCAGCAGTTAAGCTTTTATTAAACAGGTTTCTCCTGTTTTTGATTCAAATC